GGGACAGGGACAGGGACAGGGACAGGTCATCCAAGAAGGCTCGGCCTCCCAAGGAGTCGGCGCCCTCCTCGGGGCCCCCGCCGAAGCCACCGGTCAGCAGTGGCTCGGGCTCCTCCTCCTCCTCGTGCTCGTCTTCCTCCCGGAAGGTGAAGCTGCAGTCCAAGGTGGCGGTGCTGATCCGCGAAGGCGTTAGCAGTACCACGCCAGCCAAGGAGGCGGCGTCGGCCGGCCTGGGCTCCATCGGGGTCAAGTTCAGCCGCGACCGGGAGAGCCGCTCCCCCTTCCTCAAGCCCGATGAGCGGGCCCCTGCAGAAGTGGCCAAAGCAGCTCCGGGCAGCACCAAGCCCAAAAAGACCAAGGTCAAGGCCAAGGCCGGGGCCAAGAAAGCCAAGGGGACCAAGGGAAAGACCAAGCCATCCAAGACCAGGAAAAAGATCCGCGGCGGGGGCAGCGGTGGGGGCGGCGGCGGCCCTGTGACGCTGAAGAAGTCCAAGGCGGACAGCTGCAGCCAGGCGGCGGGGGCCAAGGGGGTGGAGGAGACGTCCTGGTCCGGGGAAGAGCGGGCAGCCAAGGCCCCCAGCACCCCGCCCCCTAAGGCAGCCCCTCCGCCCCCCGCGCTCACGCCGGACTCGCAGACCGTGGATAGCAGCTGCAAGACACCCGAGGTCTCCTTCCTTCCCGAAGAGGCCACCGAGGAGGCTGGGGTCCGAGGCGGGGCAGAGGAGGAGGAGGAGGAGGAGGAAGAGGAGGAGGAGGAGGAGGAGGAGGAGGAGCAGCAGCCCGCCACCACCACAGCCACCAGCACGGCCGCGGCCGCCCCAAGCACTGCCCCTAGCGCGGGGTCCACAGCCGGTGACTCGGGGGCAGAAGACGGGCCGGCCACCCGTGTCTCCCAGCTGCCCACGCTGCCCCCGCCCATGCCCTGGAACCTGCCTGCCGGTGTGGACTGCACCACCAGCGGCGTCCTGGCCTGTGAGTGTGCCCTGGGGCTGGGGGCGGGGGGCGGGGGGCAGAGGGGGGGGCAGGCTGGGGCAGAGACAGGGTTGAGAGGATGAGGTTGCAGGGGGACAGACTTGGAGGTGGTGGAGCTGCCTTGGAAGGGGTCGGTATGGAGTGTCCCAGGCTGTGAGGGGCTTGGGTGGGTGAGGGCTGGATCAGGGTCTGTCCAGAAGGCTCGGTGGTGCCTGGGTGTGCTGGGAGAGGGCAGGCAGATGAGTGCGGGGGGCGGCTAGGCCAGCGCAGACCGGAGGGGTCGGCCGTGTCCTGGGGGCCGCCTGGAGGCGGACTGGGGTAGGCGAGGCGGTAGAAGGGCCAGAAAGAAGAGGGTGAGCAGGGAGCAGTGTCCCTTGGGGGGTGGCAGTAGGCCACAGGGGGCTTGAGACAGAATCTCATCTCCGCCCCCACCTTGTCCCTGAGTGGCCTGGCCATATTGCCCCCTGACCACGCACGTACCTTACGTCCTAAGAACGGGGTCGGGGGTTGCAGAGTGGTTCTCTCAGTGGCTGAGGCCCCCTTTTCCCAGCTCTGAGCCCGAGACCCGTGGCCTCTCTAGGGGCCGCCCAGGGTGGGGGATGGCAGCAGGGGGCCAGGCGACGCTCACCGGCCCCTCTCGCGTTCAACTCCTGATCTCCTTGTCCTCAACTGTCCGCCTCTTGCAGTGACTGCACTTCTCTTCAAGATGGAGGAAGCCAATCTGGCGAGCCGAGCAAAGGCCCAGGAGCTGATCCAGGCCACCAACCAGGTGGGCCCCCCCGGGGGGAAGAGTCCCCACAGTCCCTTCCCTTGTCCCCTGACTCTGGTTAGGGGAGGAACTGCAATTCCCAGCAGGCCTTGGGACAAGGAAGGGATTGGCCAGAAGAGGAGCCTCTGGCCCCTGGGACCCTTGGGAAACCGGGGCGGGAATAATGGGGGTGCATTGTCCCCCTTCCTCTCCCCCTCCCTTTGTTCATCCTCTCTCCAACCTCTTCCCGCAGATCCTCAGCCACCGAAAGCCACCCTCTAGTCTGGGGGTGACACCAACTCCTGTGCCCACGTCTCTGGGTCTGCCCCCTGGCCCCTCCAGCTACCTGCTCCCTGGCAGCCTCCCCCTGGGGGGCTGCGGCTCAACCCCTCCCACCCCCACTGGGCTGGCTGCAGCATCCGACAAGCGAGAGGGCAGCAGCAGCTCCGAGGGCCGTGGGGACACAGACAAGGTGCGCTGGGCTTGGGGGAGGTGGGTGGCTGGTGGCAGCTTTGCAGAGAATGGGAACAGATGCTGAGACGCAGGGGCCCAAGGAGGACAGGAGACTGATGCCAACAGGCGGGAACTTAGAGCCAACCAAAGTCATTAAATTGTAAGGAACTCGACTTTCCCTCAAACGGATGAGCGGGAAATGCGCGCTGGGCAGGTGGTTTTTTTTTTGTTTGTTTGTTTTGTTTTTTTTAAATTACGTGCGCGTGGAGACGGGGAGAGGTACAGAAATACAAGGACGTAAGCACACCCGTGTGCCGACACGCACCCGTGCGACTGTGTACGTCGTGGTTACTCCTATCCCTGCCTCCCGTCTTTCTGGGTAAGAGGGAGGGCGGTTTCCAAAAGGAAGATCAGGCATCTGTTGTAGGGCAGGAGGAAGAGTGGTTGCCAGGCAAATTCGAACAGGTTTTTCTTCAGCTGCATCTGGCTCCTGCCCATGGGCCTCAGGGAGATTTTCCTTTCGGTCACGTCTGGATGTTTTCCTGTCCTGGTCCAACAGCCCGTTGCCCGGAAGATGGCATTGCCCACCTCTTACTTCGTGTACATTTTGTGCGGGCAGTGGACGTGTGGTTCCTGGTCCAGGGCCACCAGGGAGGGCCCAGGGTCCAGCCGAGCGGATGCACAAGTGACTTTCAGAGGCCCAGCCTGGCCTGTGGTCTGGGGTGACTGCAGCAAGGGGAGCGCAGGGCAGAGGCTGAGCTGGCAGGCAGGGGAGGGGAGGCCAGGGCTTCTGCAGGAACTCATCTGGCCTTTGCCGTCCCTTCTTCCCACCCTGTTGCCACCTCTGCCAGTATTTGAAGAAGCTGCACACACAGGAGCGGGCGGTGGAGGAGGTGAAACTGGCCATCAAGCCGTACTATCAGAAGAAGGACATCACCAAGGAGGAGTACAAGGACATCCTGAGGAAGGCTGTCCACAAGGTGGGGCCCCGGGGGGGACAGGTACACAGAGGTGGGGAGAGCATGAGAAGGAGAGACGGACACGCGCACGCCGATGTCACACAGACGGGGAGCCGGGAGTGGCGGGTCTGTCGGGAAGGCGAGGAGGGTGACAGGATTTGCTCAAGCCCGCGGGGGCCTATCCCGCTGGCATCACGGGCACACGTAGGGGCGTAGGCCTGGAATTGGGAGGGAGCAGCTCCCATCCTGGTCGCAAGCTGTGCTCAGCAGTCCAGGTGGAGAGGACCCTGGGGGTGACTGCAGCTGCCCCTCACTCCCTAGATCTGCCACAGCAAAAGCGGGGAGATCAACCCAGTGAAGGTGAGCAACTTGGTGCGGGCCTACGTCCAACGCTACCGCTACTTTCGCAAGCACGGCCGCAAGCCAGGCGACCCCCCAGGGCCCCCACGACCGCCCAAGGAGCCCGGGCCCCCTGACAAGGGTGGCCCAGGCCTGCCCTTGCCCCCTCTCTGAGACCCTCAGCCACCCCTTCCCTTCTTCGCCTCTTTGGAATTCTGGACGTATTTATGGCTCCACCTCCCCACTTCCCTCCCCCCATCAGTGGGATGATTGGGGGAGGGTTGCTGCAGGGAAGAGGAGAGCCCCCTGCCCTGCCGCCCCCTGTGCCCCGTGCCCCCAAGCCTGTCCCCATTGCCCCTCCCTTCTGTTTGTGCCCCTCCCCCAATTTCATTAAAGATTTCATGAAATGTTAGCCCTTAGCCCCATGATTTTAGCCCTTTCTTTTCAGAGACCGGTTTGGGAAAGGGTTGAGAAGAGATACGCAGGCGCTCTGGCCCAAGGCTGAGGGTGGTTAGCAGGTTGTGACTCGGGCCAAGTGCGTTTGCCTCTCCGGGCCTCAGTTTCCCGATCTTTGAAGTGGGCGTTGGGGGGATGAAGACCCAGGCAAAGGGAAGCACTTAGAAGCATACCTGGTACATAGTCAGCCGCTGCTCTTGACAGAAAGTGGTGGTGGGTGGGGTGTTGGGGTCCCAGGTTCTACCTGCTCAGGGTACCTGGGTGCTATCGGTCTGCCCTGGAATTGCCCCAGCAACGGGATCTTTGTCCCCCAGTGAGTTGGATTCTCTTTTTACCAGTGCTATGAGGCGGGGGTGATCTTACCCACTCTCCTGGGGTAGAGAGGGAACCTGAGGCACAGAGCAGCAGGGGCCACACAGTGAGTCAGGGCCACACTGGCCTCCATCAGTCCCCATTACCCCGAACCCAGACCTGGTGAGGAGAGGTGGTAACACCGGGGTCACTGGGGTGGGCGGGTTTTAAGGCTAGGGCACAGAACTCTTGTACAACTGCCTGTTCCAGCCCCGTGCAGAGGGGGGACCCACGGCCTGGAAAGCAGGACTTGCCCGAGGTCACCCAGCAGGAGCTGGGAGGGGACCTAAGCCCCCCTCCCCCAGCTGACAGGATGATCCAGGTGAAAGGCTCTTTGCCTACTGGACAGTGGCCTGAACTGTCCATAGACAAGACAGGGGTTCTAGATTCTGCCCCAGGGCCTCCCTTGGAGAGCAGCAACCCTGGAGTCCGACTGGATTCTCACCCATCTTGTGTTTCCTGCTTTGTGACCTTTGCTCTTCTAGTGTCAATTTCTTGGCCTGTAAAATGGGGGTGACTGTCACCTCCTCACCAGGTCCCTGGGAAGAGGTAAGGAGGTGACAGCTGCCCCCTGCACAGTATCTGGTCCTCATGCAGGGAGCATCTGGGTTGTGGGTTGCTTGCACAGATGTGTAAGCTGAGGTCCTAAGAAGGAATAATGCCTAGCCTACGTCAGGGCTAGCCTGGACCTAGCCAACACCCAACACCAGACACACAAGTGGTGACAGTGGCAAGAAACAGTTTATTGGCCAAGGTGAAGGCACGAGGGGGCAGCACCCGTGAGGAGTGAGGGGTCAGACCTCCCGAGTGACCTAGAAATCCATGTCCTCGACCAGGTCCTCGAGGTAGGCCTTGTACTGGTCTGAGGTGAGAGTGAATGGGTAGCTGTTGGAAATGTGCAGGTCCACAGTGTTCTCCAGTGAAGACGCGCCCCCTGACCGTGCCATGTCCAGCAGGGCCCTGAGGCATGTGGGAACAACCTGCGGGAGGTGGGAGGAGAAACAGGAGTCAGGGGAAACACTCAACACTATCTACTGGCAGGAGTGGGGTTGAGTGGACTACAGCTCCCCAACAGCCCCCACTATAACCCAGGATGAACCATTAGGCCCAAGGCTGCTGGGAGTTGTAGTTTTCCCCATAACCACAACCACCAGAGGCCTGAGAAGTTGCCTAGGGCTGAGATGCTGGAGGGGTTCCCAGAAGCTAGGGCTGAGCAGCTTGTGATCAAAAGGACTGCTAGGAGCTGTAGTTCCTCACAGAGGCTGCTAGGACTTGTAGTCCACCGACTTCCACATGGCTCTGAGAGTTCAAAACAGGTTCTGGGGGTGAGGCCATGAGGGGGACACCCACAAGCTCCTGGGGATGAGGAACTGGTGGTTGCAGAGACTCTTGGAAGTTGTAGTTCCTCAGAGGGGCTTCTGGGAGTTGCAGTTTCTCCTCCCTTTGTTAAGATCCACCCCTTAGCTCCAGGAGCCCAGGCCTGCAGCACCTTGACCATCACGAGCTTCTTGGTCCATGGCTGGTCCTGGGGCCATGGCTCCCCCACGCAGAACCAGAGGGTGTAGCGTGGTGAGTGTCGGCTTCCTTCGATGAAGGCAATCAGATCTGGGGGCCCGAGATCCTAGTCAATCATGGGAGGAGGACCCCACCACCACCACCTGCCCCTCCCTGCCCCCCAAACCTGTCAGCCTCACCTTCTCCCCTGACCCGAAGCCTGACATACCTACACCACCATGACTAGATGGCTGCTGACCTAGGAGAAGTCCTGGCACAATCTTAAATGCTTTTCCTCCCATCAGGGTGGGGCTGGAAGATCTGCACCGCTCCCCTATTTGGGATAGGAAGGAGTACACTCCCCACAAGGACGGTCCCTGATTTTGGAGTACAAGGTGGTTGGAGTACAAGGTGGTTGGAGTACAAGGTGGTTGGAGCACAAGCTGGTTGGCAGTTGCTAGTCTTTAACCCCCGAAGGCCACATTCCAGTAGCCTCTAGCCACTGTGGCTATTTCCATTTAAATAGTAACTAATTAAAAGTGAATACAATTTAAAACCCCCTTCCTCAGTTGCATGGCCTAAGTACTCAATAGCCACACGTGGCTGGTGGATACCAGATAGGACAGTGCAAATCCGGAACAGTTCTATCACTGCAGAGGTATCTATTAGATAACAAAGCCCTAAAGGACTTCTCTCTCCTGCATCTGTCTACCCACACTAATAACTGGTGATAGTGAGGACTATGGCAGTCAATTCCTCAAGCACTTTCTGCACACTGGGCCCTGTGCCCCCTACCAGCTCCAGCAGAGGAGACACTCCTCGGGCCGACTCAGAGCAGTCCCATCTTTTGCCCCAGGTTATAGCACAAAGCAAAGCAGCAGGGTCTGAATTGGAACTCTGGGGTCTGCAGGTTCGAAATCTTTTTTTTTTTTTTTTTTTTTTTGGAGAGGGGGAGAGAGGGGGGGGGGGGGGGGGAGGGGGAGAGGAAGAGGGAGAGGTTTTTTTTTTTTTTAAGATTTTACTTATTTATTTGAGACAGAGAGGGAGCACAAGTGGGGAGGAGGGTCAGAGGGAGAGGAAGAAGCAGACTCCTTGCTGAGCAGGAAGCCAATATGGGGCTCGATCCCAAGACCCCGAGATCATGACGTGACCTGAAGGCAGACGCTTAACTGACTGAGCCACCCAGGCGCCCCGAGAGAGAGAGTCTTAAGCAGGTTCCGCGATCAGTGCCGAGCCCAACCTGGGGCTTGATCTCACGACCCTGAGATCATGACCTGAGCTGAAATCAAGAGTCAAACGCTTGGGGCGCCTGGGTGGCTCAGAGGGTTAAGCGTCTGCCTTCAGCTCAGGGCATGATCTCAGGGTCCTGGGACTGAGCCCCCATATCAGGCTCCTGGCTCAGCGAGGAGTCTGCTTCTCCCTCTCCCTCCGCCTCTCTCCCCTGCTCATATTCCCTCTCTCTCTCTATCTCTCCCTCTGTCACATGAATTAAAAAGAAAAAAAAAAGTGTCAACACTTAACCTACTGAGCCCCCCAGGCGCCCCCAGTGACTGACCTACTCTTCCCACAGCGGAGCTATAAGGCCTTGCCTCACTCACCTGACACGAAGGGCCTCAGGTTGAACACGTCTCCTTCCTCATCCTTGGGGACCTCGCCGCTGGGTCCATGACAGCTGTCAGGGAGGAGCTCCTCGCCCAAGGCCCAGTATGTGTGACAGTGCCCCAGCCTCCGGGCCCAGAGCCGCTGTCCTGCCCTGCACAGAGCTAGTCCCCCGCCCAGGCAGCTCAGCACACGCCTCACGTAGCCCATCACGCCCCTGTCTGTCAGCGACAACCCAGGGTCTGGCAGTATTACTGGCTGTCCGGGCAGCGTCCTGTCGCCTGCCTCTGATGCCACCAGCCGCAGGCCCCTCGGGCAGAAGACAGTCTGCTGGAAGACTTGGCGGCCCCGGTAGAAGGCAGTCACCTCGAACTCCCACTCTGAGCAGTGGCAGAAGTGACATGAAGGGGGAGCAAGGTTGAGAGAGCATTAGGGGGCACAGCGCCCCAGCACCTCCCACCCCACAGCTGGCACTCACCTTCCTCAGGCAACAAGAGCTGCCTCAGTGGGTTTTCAGGGGGCTCTGAGTTTGGGCAGGGAGCAGGGATGTCTGTGGTGGGGCTCAGCAAGAATGGAGGGGTCTGCTCAGGGACCACAGCCAGGTTCGAGGGCCCCCCTTCCGGGAGTGGGGCCAAGACCATGTCACTCAGTAACTCTAGTATATCTTCCTGGAGAGAAGAAAAAAGAAAAGGATCTGGACATCTCCATAGCCTTTTCTAGAGGCTTCATGTAGACCAAGGCCTTGGGACCCAGAGAGGAGTCAGACCTGAGCTTTGCCCTCAAGGGGCTTCCTGTAAGCGGGGCTGTGGGGGGTGGGGAGACAACCGCGGGCACAGACAGCAAAATACACGCTCTGGTATATGCTACGTGCGACTGTTGGCGCCAGGGGAGCAGCTAATTCCAGCCCAAGGGTCTGGCCTTGTGCAAGCAAGAGCTGGGCCGAGAGGGCTGGACACAATTTCAGAGGGGACTTGCCCTGGCACAGACATCAGCAAGATCAAGGGAAGGGTGGTTCAGGGTTCCCCAGAGGCTGAAGGTACTCTAAATAGCAACGGAGGCTATGAAATTCTGCGAAGGCGTCTTAGGGTACTCACTGCCTGGTGAAAGTTCTGAACTTTCTCCTGAGGACGCTGGAAGCCATGGAAGGGCTATGAGCAGGGGAGAGACAGGGTCAGCTCTAGATCGGCTGGGGGACAGCCTTGCAGGGGAGAGGATGGAGGCTCAGGAGGAAGACTGGGGTGTTGGTCCAGGAGGAGAACGGGATGCCTGAACAAGGCCCTGGAGACACAGAGAGAAGATGGGTCAGAGTGAGGGCAGGGGGGTTGGAGTGCATTCTTACCTGGGTATCCGAGGTACTGCATCTGCCATTGGCGTCCGGAGAGGTGTCCAACTCCGAGAAGTTCCCAGCTCCTGTGGAGGAAGGTGGTGAGTGGAGTAGGGTGTTGGGGACGCTCAAAGTCCCATCCCTCCATGTGAAACCCCACTTCTGGCACACCTGAGATCACAAACTCATAGACCTTGTGCGGGTCCTGGGGGTCCTTGCTCCGATCCTCGGCTAAACGCAACCCCTCCTTCCGGTTCAGGGCGGATCGGAAATTCCTCTTCCAGGTGGGCAGATCAGGTCTATCCTTTCCAGGAGTGTAGGCACCGCTGGCCTCCGCCCACGCCTGGGGATCCAGTGGGTACCAGGAGAATGAGGAGGATGACTAAGACCACGCCCCAAGGGTTCGCTCCCCTGGCACGTTCTAACTCGGCACTGATCCGTCCCCAAACTCTTGGCTTCTCTGCATCCTAAGGCCGCCTAACTTCACCTTTTGAAAAGCTTTGCTTTCTAAGTCAGCCTTCCAGGTCCTACTGGGTGTCTAACTCTGCCACCAACCTGCCCCAGGACACCTTCTGTAGTAACCCCGCCCCCTCGCACTCTAACTCGGGTTACCACCACCGCTGTATCCTAATTTGGTGAGAAATCACCTCAGCTTCGGGGCCACGTCTCGCCTCTAAGGTTCTGAGACCCGCCCCCAGAATGCTAGGACCAAGAGACCCGCCCCCTGCGAGCCCAGAACGCCCAGTTTGCATTTCTTTCGGGTTCTAACCCCGCTTTTCCGGTTCTTTTTTCGGAACCCGGCCGCTCCAACCTTGCCTGCTATCCGACACCAGTCGGCTGATCCTACTAACCCTTCCCAGTCTTGTCCTAACTCCACTCACCTCCACCTGCCGGCGTCAGCGCCTGCCAACCGCACGCGTGCTAACCCCGCTTTCTCGGCTCCGCCCCCTGCAAGTCCACCCCTCCCGGCTGTTAGCTCAGGGATCCCCGCGTCCGGGAAGCTCACGCACCTGGAAGATGCCAAAGTCCTCCTGCTGGGCGTCCTGCCGCAAGCCGTGCTTCCAAGGGATGCGGAAGCGCGTGCGTCTCTCGTCCAGCCAGGCTACCCCCTCCAGCTGCCCCAGGTCCAGCTGCGACACCAGCCAGGGCAAGATCCGTGGCTTTGGGGTTCCCATGGTCCGGCCTGCGCTTAGAGGGCAGTTCGTGGGCGCGGATGGCCTCATAGGCCCACCCGGCCCGAGGGTTCCGCACCCAGACCTTCCTCTCTTGGGGACGCGGTGCAATGTCCCTCACTTATGTTTTCCTGGGGTATAAAACAAGACACCTCCTCTTTTCATCCTCCAGACAGGCTCCCCCAATTCATCGAGGACTTCCTCCCCAATGCATTTGAGACCCCCCTTCTTTCCCCACCTTCTTCTGTGCAGACCCTCTAACCTTCCCAATTCCGCCAGCGTAGATCCTTCCCTCTTCCGCTGTAAACTCTTTTCTCCTCTCCCCTCCCCCACATCACCCAAGGCAGTTACCTTCACTTCCAAGGTAGAGCCTCCCCTAGTTATTTCAGGGCAGACGTTATTCACTTGTAGATCTCTACCTCCCGCACTTAACCGTGTTGTAGAACCCTTCTACAATTCCCCCACAGAAAGGCCCCTCACCCATTTCCACCGTAGACCCTCCATCCACCATTCCCCCCCCAACAGCCTGCCTTCTGTAGGGCGCGCGCGCGCGCGCGCACGCACACACACACTTTTATAGAGTGGACTGCCTCCCGTTTTCAGGGTCCACTCTTCTCTCCCTTAGATCCCCCAGTGCAGACGCCTGCCCTCCCCCCCCTCCCCGCTACTTTTTCTGGGTTTTTTTTTTTTTTTTTTTTTACAGCCGACCTCCAGCACCGGCCATTGCTTCACTTTTTCCCCTCGTTGCTTCACTTTCCCTAGAGTACACAATGCCCCTCTGGACTCAGGGCAGATCCTTTCTTTCTCGCCCTTCTCGGCCCGGACGCCACCAATTCCCCAGATCCTCCCTGTTACCTACGTAGAGGGTCGGGGCGCGCAGGGTGCTAGGACCCACCCCTGCGTTTTGGGGTCCGATAGCTCTCGAACTTGAAGCTGCACACCCTCCTTCCTGTCAGCTGAGCTTCAGAGCAATGCGATTTTCTGTTCTATCGATTTCACGAAATAAAAACAACTTTATCCGCGGTGGGTTGACAGGCTCTCTACAGCTAAAGAGGCGGCACCGAGAGCCCGGACGCCCTCCCCCCATGCCCTTTTTAGGCCTTCCGGCCAATGGCATGCTGGGAACGCCACATGCAAATTAGATGGGCATCCAGCGCTCCGCCCCTCCCACAATAGGGCCGTCACCAACTCGGACCAGTGCGCAGGCGCGGGAGAGTTCCCCTTAAGAAAGTTTTTGCAAGTTTAGTGAAGGAGGAGGGGGTGGCGGCTCCGGCCCCAGGTAAGCCGGGCCTTTGGGAGGGCTGGGGTGAGAAGGGAAAAGGCCGGGATCTCGGGGGGGGCCGGCACCTCAGTGCCGCTTCCCCGACATTCATGCGCCCCGTGTCCCCAAGATTCCAGCCTTGGTCGGATGAGGCAACTACACCTCCCAGGCCGGCTGCGCGGCTAGCTAGTGCGCACCGAGGGGAAGGTTTGCCGTGAAGCCTGCTGGGATTCGTAGTTCCCGATTCTCTAAGAGCTTGAGCAGCTTGGCATATGCCTTCAGAATCCAGAAGTCGGAGCCCCAAGTCCCCTTCTCTCTCAGACTCAAGAATTTAGATCCCCCCAACCCCTTTCTCCGAAAACCCGAGTCCAGCCCCCAGTCCCTTTCTCTCTTAGACCACGGCATCCGGGTCCCCAGCCTCTTCCTCTCCAAGGATCAAGGAGTCTCCGACCTCAAACCTCTTCTCCCTCTGAGGACTCAAGAGCCTGGGTTCCCAGCCCCTAACTCCCCTAAAGGACTTAGGAGTTCAGACTCTCAGCCCTTTCTTCCCTTGGGGACTCACGGTTCCTGGCCCCCTCCTTATTCAGGGACTAGGCATTTAGGCCCCAATCCTCCACCTCAGTTCAACCCTGGAGTCCATCCCCCGGCTTCTTTCACAGGTGCCCCATGGCAGGCTCGGAAGAGCTGGGCCTCCGGGAGGACACGGTGAGAGTCCTAGCTGCCTTCTTTAGGCGAGGTGAGCCTGCCGGGTCCCCCATTCCAACCCCACCCAGGTAAGAGGAGTTGCCCTCCTCCCTCAGGGGCCTGCAACTGGGGTAGGGCCCTCTCTAACTTCGTGCCTGGTCTCAGTCTGTCTGCGTTCCCCTCTCTTTATATCTGGCTCTTTTCCTCATGCCTGGGGCTGCAGCCAGAGGCCCTCCGTGGGAGGAAAAAGGGGCTCCTTGCAAAGGAGCCTCTGGGGTCACTCTCTGAGGTCCCCTTCCCCAGGAGTCCTGCCCAGGAGGAGCCAACAGATTTCCTGAGCCGCCTTCGAAGATGTCTTCCCTGCCCCCTGGGGCGAGGAGCAGTTCCCCCTGAATCCCCTCGGCCTTGCTCCCTGCCCCTCCGCCCATGCTATGTTTCAGAGCCTGGTAAGAGATTTCCCTAGATCACCCATGAACTTGCAGGGCCAGAGCTTTGATTTTTTTTTTTTTTTAAGAAGCTTTGATTCTTGAAAGCATAGAAAGGATAAGGAGCTAGCCCGAGATCACTCAGCTAAGAGGGGAGCTGAGTGGGGACTACCCTCACCATTCTCTGCTCCTCCCACCCCCAGTTACATTGCTGTCTGTCATTTCTGTGAGCTGGCTTCATAGGGGGGCTTTTGGGCCCTTTCTGTTTGTTATCTCTCTCCTCCCATGCATGCTTCCCTGCCCCTGGGACTTTGTGGCTACCAGTACCCTCAGTAGGAAGGCAGGAGATCTGGTTTTCAGTCACAGATCCCTGTCTGTTTGGTTACATGACTCTGGAAACTCCTTTTCTTTCTTGCTCCTGTATTTCTCCAGAAGCAAAGTAGAAATGTGTGCATGTGTGTGTGGGGGGTGTCCTTGGACTTGATCAAGAGTAACCAAAAGGTTTCCTCTCATATGTGAGACTTGATAGACTAGTAATGGCTACCGGGAGTGCTAGCTTGAAAAGGATTTCACAGCTGGGGAGAAGAGTTCTGTGATCAGTTGATGACTCCTGAAACCAGCAAGGATAGAATGGTAATAGTTGGAGTGCCCTGTGTTTGTCTTTCTTGGATAGGATCATCTTCAAGGTCTAGTTCAGCTCTAACATTCTAACTCTAGTTTGAAGGACACAATAAAATGGAAAGTATCAAGGCCTTTTACCAAGTGTGCTCACTGGGCCCCATTATGAAAGGGAAATCATTGCTACCTGGCAAGGTGGTTGGGACAAGAAGAGAATCCATAACTTCCCGATGTCCCGGAGACCCATCATTGGCTCTTTTCACCCAAGGCCCAGCTACTCCAGATTTCTATGCTCTGGTGGCCCAGCGGCTGGAACAGCTGGTGCAAGAGCAACTGAGATCCCCACCTAGCCCAGGTGAGGTACCGAGGGGCCCCGGAGAAGGATGAGGGCAGAAGGGTGGGCAGGGTTCTGCCCCCAGCTGAATTCTCTTCTGCCCACCCCCCAGAGTTACAGGGAGCCCCATCCACAGAGAAGGAAGCCCTACTGCGGAAGCTGGTGGCCTTGCTGGAGGAAGAGGCAGAAGTCATCAACCAGAAGGTGACAGGCAGTCTGTTCCATCCCTTAGCTAGGCTAGGGATTGCGGATTGTTGGGCACTGGGATCAGAACCTGGATCTGCATTCTCATTAGATGGTCAGGTGAGGAGAGGGTGGGACTCGGCTTCTATGAAGGGTTTGTAACGGGGTCCAAGCTCATTCTGCTCCCAGCATCACAGGCTAGTGAGCCGAGAGGCAAGATGTTGGGGTAAGGAAAGCAACTTTATTTGGAAAACCAGCACACCGAAGAGATGGCAGACAATCGTCTCAAAGAACCATCTCCCCCAGCATGAGATTTGAGCTTCTTTTATGTTAGGAATGGGGGAAGGGGGAGGGGATTGGAGTCAAAAAGTGACTGACGTCTGTAGACAACAGAGGAAGGTTGTGTAACTTCTTTTGTCCTTGGTCAGTTTCCTGGGACCAAGCCCCTGCTTAGGGCTCCCTGCTCAGGGAGTCTGCTTCTCCTTCTCCCTCTGTCTGCTGCTCCCCCTGCTTGTGTTTCTCTCTCTCTCTCTCTCTCTCTCTGTCAAATAAATAAATAAAACCTTTTAAAAAATAGAGGCACGAGGGTGGCTCAGATGGTTAAACGTCTGCTTTCAGCTTGGGTCATGATCCCAGGGTTCTGGGATTGAGCCCCACATCGGGCTCCCTGCTTGGCGGGGGGCCTCCTTCTCCCTCTCCCTCTACTGTTCCCCCTGCTTGTGCTCTCTCGCTCTATCAAATAAATAAATTAAAAATTTAAAAAACCTTTTAAAAAATAAAATAGAGAGGTTTTACTTATTTATTAGCGATATTATTTATTTATTTGAGGGAGAGAAACAGAGAGCACGAGCAGGGGGGAAGGGAGAGAGAGAAGCAGACTCCAGGCTCAGCGGGGAGTCTGATGCGGGGCTTGATCCCAGGACCCTGGGATCATGACCTGAGCGGAAGGCAGACCCTTAACTGACAGAGCCACCCAGGCGCCCTGTCCCTGGTCACTTGATCTTTGTGTACAGGTCATGTGTCGTTCCTATAAATCTTCCATAGAGCATAGTCATTTCTGTAAGTACTTCCATATCTCCTCTGGGGAGGCAGATTTCCGGTAAAAAAGCCGTTTTTGAGAATCTTAGCTGTAACATGCCTACGTGCAGGGCTAAGCAGAAGCTTCTAAACTATAGGTCCCATCAGGAAGGGAAATAGAAGCAGTATGGAGGCAGACGGGCTAAACTTCTCCGCTACAGGTTGAACGACAGAGTTATGGTCAGGGTAGTACCTTAAACCCTGGCTCGCAGTCACCGTAAGAGGGGCGTGGCCTAAAGACAAGGGGTGTGGCCACCCGAAACATGATCTGGGAAACTGACTGGGACCAGTTGAGGAATTAGGGGCTGTATGGTGGTGGGCGGGGAGTTGGTTTGGAGAGTGCTGTCTAAAATCTGAAGCCCTGGTTAACTATATAGGGGTATGCCTTAGAATGTTGGGGGAAATGAACTGCCGGCTCGGTCCTGGAACTGGATTGGCTCAGGAGCTTGGGCAAAGTGTGTGGTCCTATAATATCAATTGTACGGTGGAAGGCAAGGTTGTTGTAGGCACTGGCCTGGTCTCCGAGGCTCTCAGGGAACCTGTAGGGGGCGTGGCTATAAGATCTGTATTCTAGAACTCAGCTAATTAGGGCTTGGCCCTCATTGGCTGTCGGCCACCTTTCTAGGAGTAGTTTGGCAGAGCACAGAATCTGGTTTATGATTGGCTGATGTCATGGATGGGGCGTGGCTTTGAGTCAGTGTCAGGACGGCTTCCACGAGGAAGCCACGCCTCCTAGCCTCCTATTGGCTGTCTACGGAGGCGTGGGGGAGGCCGACCCAGCCTCTTCTCTTCCCGCCCCACAGCTGGCCTCGGACCCGGCCCTGCGCGGACAGCTGGCCCGGCTCTCTGCGGGCTCCTTCGCCCGCCTAGTGGAGCTGTTCTCCAGCCGGGAGGACAGCCCTCTTGCCAGCCGCCCACGCCCCACCTTGCCCTGCCCTGGGCCCCCGCCGCCTTCCCCGGAGCCCCTGGCCCGTCTGGCCCTGGCCATGGAGCTGAGCCGCCGCGTGGCCCGACTGGGGGGCACCCTGGCCGGACTCAGTGTGGAGCACGTGCACAGCTTCGGACCCTGGATCCAGGCACACGGGGGCTGGGTGAGCTGCCAGAAAGCTTCTCTGTGCCTCCCTTTACCCAATTGTAACTTGTGCCCGTGTGATGGGGGGGGTGGCTTCTTCGGCTTCTTTTCAGACATGACAAATATTCTCCCAGCCCAACCATTCATCTGTTTTGTGTTTATTGAGCACCTACTGTACACCAGTAGGTAATCAGTGCAGACGCTATGCTCGGCTTAAACCATTCTGATATGCACTGGCAGTTATGAGTGGGAAACAAGGGAGACCCCTTCCTGGGCCTCGGTTTCCTTATCTGTCAGGTGGGGAGAGTAGAAGTACCAATCTCAAAGGGTTATTGTAAAGATTAAAATGGGATCATCTCTGTAAGTCCTTGGAACCCTGTGGGCATTTGCGTGATTATCTGGTGCCTGTCTGCTTCTTTGACACTGCCTGCCAGAATGCGCTTGCCCAGGTATCCCCCTGCCTC